CTTCATTTAAAAACTGCATTTTTGTTAATTGTGTTATCTTTGTCTAATATTTCAATTTGTTTGATCTGAAACATTTCAGTGTGACAAACATGCAAAAAAATAAGAAATCAGGAAGGGGGCAAACACTTTTTCACACCACTGTATAATATATGTAACAAATGAATTATCACATTTTAACATAATATCTTTTTTAATTACAAAATATTTTTTTCTCCATGGAGCTAATAGGCTTCTGTAAAAAATTACCAGAACTGTGAAGGAAAACCCTAAAAACAACTGTTATTGAAATTTCTAATAAACATCAGAGTTGTTAATAATACATATATTTTGTTTTGCTTATCATTCACATCAATTCCATAATCAAAAATGCAGACAGCTTGACTGTAAAGCAACAATAATGGTTTTGACTTCACTGTTCAAATAATTATGGGTGGTTCCATTTCCAAGATACATTGAATTTTTTTAGCATTTGTAATATTTTGTAATATACTTTAGTATACAGTGTGGTCTACTCTGTTTCTGCAGCTCCAGAACTAAGCAAACAGGCTGATCACAAGCCCCAGACCTAAGTGCTAGTTTAAAAAATAAGAGATCACCCTATGAGAGGTGGAAAATTATTATGCCTATCATTTTTATTCATAAGAGGGGAAGAGATAAAGAGTACAGCTTTAAATTAATAATCAAAATAACGTTTATTCACTGAGAAAAGAATATTGACAATAAATGTTTACTTTACAACAATGCTACTGCAATCTGTTTCATTCTTGAGAGTCCTCATTATTTTCATATTTTGGATATTGTTTCAGGCACTAGGAGGCAATATCATGACAGCAAGTCCGATCTCTGACCTGAACCCTGTCTTCATGGCTGCAGGCAGCAAGGCCGCACTGTTGTCCAAAGGTAAACCAGGGAATCAATGCTCTAATAGCATTCTGTTATCTTATTAAAATCCTTTCAGGGCTCAGGCAGAAGGCACAAAGTAAGATACCTACAGAGATCATTAGCTGACATAGTCACTCATACTGTAGCTGATACTGCAGAATGAGGATCCAAGTGTGAAGATCTAAGTGGAAGTGTCTAGCTGTTACAGCAATCAAGCTGTAGTGAATGGTGGCAACCTAGCTACACAGTCATACACTGATCAAGCCCAGGGACATCGCTTGATGGCTGTCATGAAGATTCATGCTGATGCAACTACATTCCATCAGAACAGCACAGATCCTCAGGCTGCTCTTGTAAGCCTTGCTTTCTTGTGAGATGGAAATATGACAGTTATGCCATGGATACCCTACAGACTTGTGTAACCTCTATTAAGTATCTGTGGAATGAGCTGGGACAGCCTATGGCATTCCGGGTTCAGAGATATGTGAACTGGTGAATCCTTCTCCAGTCACTGCAAAAAAGAACACTATCTTACAAGGTGATATCTAACCTGGTGCAAATCATGCAACATGATTTGAACCAGGGTTGTATGGCTTCAGATGGTGTCCATACATGCTTGTAACCTGTGAGCCCTGGTTGTTCAAATCTGACAACTCATGATAACAAATGTTGGTCAGCATAATTTATAAAACAATAAAACAATTGGTGAATGATTAACTTAAACTAGTCACATTGTACAAGTAGATGTTTGCACATTCTAATAAAAATTAAACTGATATTTGTTTTTAAGTATTTGTATTTGTATTTGTTTTTAAGTATTTGTATGTATGTCTCTCTTTGTATGTATGTATTCTCTTATTATTACTTTCTCCTTAACCTACTGTACCTCATAGAACTGATTCTGCAGAGCATTGTGACAAGCCATGGTTTAAGTGACACTTAACCTTGGTTTCAATGTAAGCTGTCATTCCAGGCCTGTCACGTTTGGTTTGCTAGAGGCTCTGGAGTGCACCCATCATTATCTGGCTTTCGAGTACTCCGTTGTTGAGAGAATCATTTTTCCTATTTTATCTGGGCTTTACACAAATCTACACTTTCAGAATGTAAACAGTACAGACCTTTGTACCAGTTAAGTGTCATGCATTTAATTTAATTAGCATTCTTAAGGTTTTTCCGCAGCTCTAGGAATTCTGAATAATTTGGGCTTGCCATTTTCCAGTTGGTAAACGAGAGATCCACATTGATGAAAATTTTTTTATTGGCTACCGAAAAACATCCATAAAGCCTGACGAGATACTTCTGTCTATTGAAATTCCTTACACAAGGAAGGTAAGCAAGTCAGTAAAAGACTTACTTAAAAGTCAGCCATGTATGGTAACTGCCAACTTATACATGGACGTCTTGCATTGTGTTCTTCAGCTTGTGTTTTTATGCCTTGCAAAGAATTGATGTTTCTTTCAGGGTGCTGTCCCATCTTGTGCCCTGCAATCTGTTTTCAAAAGTCCTAGCAGCAGTTAGGGGCTTTCTGATGATGGATAGCTAAAATTATGCTCTGTCCGTACACATTTTCCTTAATAGTGAAAATGGAATACATCTGTTGAAAATTCTACACACAGCATGCAAAACCTAAAATCTACTGTACCAAATCATAATGAACAAAAATCTGAAATGTTTTATTTGTCACCAAAATTTGTTTTTTTTATTAATACACCAATTAAACCCTTAAGGTATCTATGATTAAAAGGTGTGTTTTGAAAGTAAGGCAGTTTCATTGAGCTATTGTTATCTAGGTTTAGACCAGTTTAATTCAATCCAAACTTAATGAATTTGAAAATTGTCATATTAACATATACTGGAACAGAAGTTCAGGTGGGTAGCTGCGTCAGCATGCATAGGCTGCAAAGGAACAAGTAATAGGTTTATTCCATGCTGAAAAGAGAAGAAAGAAAACACAACGTTTCAGGTGTGGAGCCTTCTTCAGGTGTGAGACTTCTTCTCTCACGCCTGAAGAAGGCTCCACGGCTGAAACATTGTGTTTTCTTTCTTCTCTTTTCAGCTTGAAATAAACCTATTACGTGTTCTTAACTGTAACAGAATATTAACATCTTAATAAGGACAAAACATCTAGGAAAGAATGACACAGTAGAATATGTCTTTCTGTGTTGCAGGGCCAGTATTTCTCAGCCTTCAAGCAGGCTTCCCGGCGTGAGGACGACATCGCTATAGTAACATGTGGAATGAATGTTCTCTTTAAAGAGGGAACTAATAAAGTAAAAGAGCTCCATCTGAGTTATGGGGGAATGGCTCCAATTACAGTGCTGGCAAAGAAGACTTGCAAACAGCTTACTGACAGGTGGGCTTTGATAATACATGTTTTTTTGTAAACAGAATATGTTTAAGATACAGGTACAGATAAATTCAAATTCACAAAAGAGATTATTCCCTTAAAAAGTGTGGTTCAAAAATGCTTCTGGCCTCTGTAAGTATTTTTATTAAAAGGCTTGTACTTTTTGTGGCCCACATTAAGACAGGGTTTCTTTTTATAGATTTTTAGCCCTCAAAAATCATTGTTTTCATTTTGTTTTTAATTCCATATTTATCGCTTTTTTCCTGCTCAATGTAACCAATATATAACTCAATATTTTTTTCTCTATCCGTAAGGGTTTGAGTACATCTGTCATAAAATCATTGCTTAAAAAATGTTTTTGATACTTCAATACAAACTACAAACTACAAATAAAATATGTCTTGGATAATTGTTGTATCTACCTGTATAGAATTACCTATATAAGGGCTATAATCTATAGCCAATTATACGTTTGTGTGATCGTTATAAGTTTTATTTCGACCAAAGCTTATACAGCATTCTATTTAATTCCAACAACTTCACTGAAAAATCTTCCCTGATCCAAACCTTTCTCATCTGTAAAACATAATGGTTTTTAATGAAATCCCTTCCTTCCAGAGAAACTAGGTTTCTTATGAAAAACAGCACCCAGCTTTATTAGCGAGAGTGTTGTGTGAAGGTGCAGGAGTTGCCAGTGATTGTTATAGCCTGTGGTTCTTGTCAGAGAGTGGACTGAGGATCTGCTGCAGGAGGCCCTGTCTTCCCTGTCTACGGAAATGAGCCTGGACCCTTCAGCCCCTGGGGGCCTTGTCCAGTATAGACGCACTCTGGCACTCAGCCTCTTCTTCAAGTTCTTCCTCACTGTCCGGCACAAACTGGCCCAGGATCTCAAGGACCAGGTGAGGAAGACTGTTGCCCTCACTTTGCCAACAGCGAGATTCGCTGTTCATTGGAGATTGTACAAAAAAAGGCAAAATCAATGAGAAAGCACGTTCCGATTACTAACAATTAGCATTATTTAATTTGTCCTACAAAATGTACCACAGAATTTAAGAATGCAAGGATTAAATGTTTATCTTTGTTGTGTTATTTCTGAGTTGTCGTTAGGGAATAAGCTGTTTTCAAATTGTGTTCTTTCACCTTGGCATCTGTGCTTTCATGTTTCTGTACTCTAGGGGATTCATACTGAAGACTTACGACCCGACTATGTCAGTGCAACAGAGCTGTTTCATAACAATTCACCTTCTAGTGTTCAGCTTTTCCAGGTAAAAATTCCTGTTTTTCGATGTTTAGTTGCTGTAAATTTTCTGATGATTCTGGCCTTTTTGTGTGTACTGGATGTTAAACTTGATTTGGCTGCAGGAGTAGTTGTATGAAGGGTTTATAATATAGGGTTAATAATGCTAATTAATATAATGCCAAAATCTCCAGGAAAATCACAGGGGAGGGCAAAGAAGCAATGCATCAGAAGCTATGAGTCTTTCCAGTATTTCTTGATTTATTGGTTCATATTTCAGTCCTCTGGTAGACTTGGGCTCAGGTTTCAGGAGCAATCAGCTTCAACCATTGGCTATAATCATTTAAATTCCTAGTTTGGTAACAGTTGTTACTCATCTCTTGTATCAGTGACTCATTTACTTAGAAAACATGCAGGGCTGTAAACTATGCAAGAGAAGTGTGATCACATTACCATTGCTTCATTTATTGTGAGATAATGAAGAGTGAATACTCTTAACTGCTAAGCAATATAAAGGAATTCTTAAACAATACCCCCTGAAATTCAGGTGAAAATTCAACGAAAGCAATAAATAGTCACCAAGAATTCTTAATATATGGAGAGCATCATAGCAAAATACAACCGCTTTCAACAGTATAATTTTGCTTATCCGGTCTTCAGAGAGCAAGATGAGATTTACATATCATATAAGGATATTATATATTCAGGCTTGTCACACCTTGAAACAAAACATATTTGCCAGAGGAGTGTAAAGTACCAACAAAAGCATATCACCTTTCCCTACTTTTTTCTTTGAAATGACATGGTGTATCTGTGCAGTGTTTAACATTTTATGAAATATGCATGGCATAGCAAAATGCATTCTTCCCTGAACTGGCGTTCCTGTGCCAAGGAGGATTTGTGGAAGGAAAGTGCATGACAGCAGTTGAGTAAATTTAAAAGTGAGTTTAGAGGACTTTGAACTGATCTTACTGTCGCGGATGTCGGAAAGGACGAACCATGAAATGGCAGGAGAGCGAAAAAGACCCTATGCGTAGCGGCGAGACAGGGTTTAGTCCGGGCTCATCTGTTCAGGAAATGCCATAAAGAAACCTATGCCCTCAGGTAGCGGACGTGGGGCGACCTGGTGCTAGGTGGGTCTCAGGACATCCGAACCTCAATGCTGAGCGAGGAGCAGAGCAGAAGCAGGAAGTAAATAGGCTACACAACAAGACATACTGTACCAGAAAGACATGAATAATCACAGGGAACTTGGAACAGGAAAGAAGTAGAGCACCCTCTAGGTGTACTGGGCGTGATACTGACGTCTATCTGAATTTTCTAGGAAGTGGAATTAAGCACAACATTGGAACTGAAATATCTTCATTATGGATAAAAATATGTGCATATACTTATGCAAATATAACAATACAGACCTCAGATCAAAATGCAATAGGAATAAGCTTCATATATTAGTGTTTCAGTCTTCAACATACTCCATGCAGAAGGTTAGCTATGTTTGAGCAATGTTCCCTAAGCTTATCATCTTGGAGTGGATCTTCAGTATTGTGCATTATACAGTATTGCACAAAG